CATACTTTATTTATTTAATAATTTATTATATATACACTGAGTTTCGTAACAGCACTTTCTGGTACTCTGTATGAGAACTGACCAGTCACAAAAATTCACCTTTCAATTCTATAAAGAGATCATGCAGGGAAATATCCATAAATAATAATTATACATAATCAGTCATGCTTAAATAATCACTTAACAAAGTATTCAATTTAGGCTCGAAAAACAATCTATGCAACCTGATTGAATTAAAATATTATTTAAGATACAATTCTTTGAATCAATAATCAAATAAATATAAATAACTTTAGTTTCCAATTGTCCAATATTATGATCTGTCTAATAACAATTCTCATAAAAGTATAGAATCTTTCTAATAATGAGACAAAATAGTAACACACCAAACTATTCAATCCCATGCATAGGCACGTAAATTTAGAAAAGCACATGTATGTTTATGTCTCTCTATAAGGTGCAACACAAATTCACCCAAATATGAAATCAATAGCAAAATTCATATTTTAATGCCCAAATATTCATGTTCAGGTCATTCTAAACATACACAAAAATTGAAATAGAAAGCTTCACATAAATTGTTCTTCTGTTGAATTATTATATATGTTTAACTTTTAGGCAATTACAGAAATTAAAATTTATCCACAAAATTGATCAAAACCATACACGCCTACTGTATGAGCTGAATCCAATAAATTAAATTATATAATTATTTAATTTTAATTTATACTTACACATATTATTTATGCAACATTAATGAAAAATAATGAGTTCTTAAACCGTAAGCTCTGATACCACATGTAAACTTTAATTTATTCATGTTAAGCCATTAATCACAAATTTACATGAATCCCATAATCTTATAACTTCATGATTTTCACATATCTATAATGCAGAAATAAATATAGTTAGATATAAATACCTTGAACCATGATAGCAAATCTTGTTGAGATCAAGTCCAACGTCGAGATCCTTTAATCATGAATTAATCTGCAACTCTGATCAACAGGCAAAGGTAGAAACTGGTTTCTCTCTCTTGGCCTTTTGCACACATAAAACTTTTACATGTTGTATAATTAATTGTACATAATTGATGGAGCATATGCACTCTTATAAAGGTAGAGAGAGGACCAGTTTTTCTTTTAGTAATATAATTTTACTTTCCATCAAAGTAAGGAATAAGAAAGGAAAACACTTCTCCAATAAGTAATTACCAAAAAGGTAATTCTAAATTGACCAAGAATAAATAGTATTAATTGATATCTATTTACTTAACCACCAAGTAATTTGTCACATGTCCAAATCATGTGGGCCACAATTAAATAAATAATCTTACAGCCTAGGCACACACTGGCTCCTCCTCTGGGTGTCAAAGTGCTCCTCCTCCTCATTTTTTATTTTTTGTTTGGTAAATTTCTTCTCCTCCTCTTTTGTTGGGTTTGTGGCTCAAAAGTGCAAAAATTAATTTCTTTTTCTTTTTGGAAGATTTTGTAAAAGAAATTGTTTCTTTTTATGTTTTTATTTTAGAGCTGATATTGATAAAATTCTTGTCTAAGGAATGGGATCTTGAAAACTCTATAATAGAAATGGGTTTTATCCAATAAGAAATTGAGTTTTGAAGAGTTGTAAATAGAGATGGGTTTGGGTAGAGAGAAAAAAAGAGTTAATTGTGGGGAGAGAAAAATTTGGAGTGAAGATGGTAGTCGTTGACAATAACCCAACCAAGTCCTTTTTAAAATCCAGAAACCACCCATTTGGGCCGGTGGCAACTTCTGAATCCCCAACCTCCACCACCGCCACCAACTCTGACGCTTTGGACATTGAGTCCGGCACTGATTGGACAAAAACAGACAAAATAAATCCCTCCTGCTCCTGTACAGGTTTCTGGGTTTCTGTGGCGTTTCTTGGCGCTTGTATTTGCTTGTTAATTATGCGTTACAACATTGAGACCGAGACCAACGCCCCAGAATTCCATATCCAATCAGTCTCCATCTCACCCTTCAACCTCTCAACATCTCACCATGTTTCTTCCAACTGGAACATTAGTTTCACACTTACAAACCCTAATCAGGACGCCTATAGCTCCTTCTACTACTATGACGTCCGGCTCTCGATTCTCTACAAGAAAGAGCTTCTTTATATGACTACACTCCCGCCTTTTTTGCAATGAAAGACGGAGAACTCCTGGGCGCAGGCAAGTTTTGATGCGTCGCTGGTCACGGTTGAGGCGTGGGTTTCAAGCTCCTTTGCTAGCGATATGGATTTGCTTCAAGCTGTGACCTTCGATGTGAACGTGAACAGCAGAATCGTCTATGGACCTGGGAGAGACTCAGAACGAAATCGTTTGATGAAAGTGTCTTGTGATCATGTGAAGATCCAATTTCCATCTAAGGAAGAGGGGTACAATGTCTGGCGGATCAAGGAAGTGTTTGGTACTACTTAGTGGGTGGTAGGTGATGTTCACCATTGATAGTTCACTAACCGCACCAAACCACGAAAAATGTACGCTGGGTTTTATTCATTTATTTACTTACTAGAGAGGATTTTAAGTGTGGATTTCATGCTTTTATCTTTATATTAAGATCCAATCTTTTGGATATGGAAATCCATATTCTCCATTTGATAGTTGAAACTTTAATATAAGTTGCTCAATTCTTCAAAACTTTTTGGTTTTCCCACTCTTGCACTTGCTTCCGTAGATTTTCATCTCATACGGCATAATGAGAATAATCAAAAAAGAAAATATTCTCATTGTGAACTAGATGAAAATATTCTCTTGTTTTTAAAAGAAATCTCAAAATATTCTCATCTTGTTTTTACAAAAAAATCTCTAGTCAACCTTCCTGCAAGAAGGGATTGGCCTAATTAGAAAAATGCTCTGGAGTCAGCAATTTTTTTGAAACACTACACATAGTTCTAGCCTTACTCGATTTTATATGATCAATATTATTGTGCCTTTTCTTCAATAAGGTGAGAGTTAAGAACAACACCATATCTAACTTTAGTATTTAAATCTTTCAACAAGAATTTTGTTACAATTCACACAAAAATAAATAAATAAATAATTTCTTAATGTCATTTAAGATTGATTTAGGAATAACAAAATGGCCACAGCATAGGAAAATAGTTTGCTTGACCACTAGTAATTTTTTCCACTAGACTTTTACATTCGGTAGCTTTAGCATGGCTATACATATATACAAATTTGATCTATGGACAACATCGTTATGGTAAAAGTCTAAGCCTTTTTTATTTTTTTTTTATTTTTTTTTATGCATATGCCTCTTTTGTTTTGTAGCCTTGTTTGTATGTTTGCCTCTGATTAAAAAAACAAACACAAAAACACCAAAAATAAATAAATAAATAATACTATTCTTACAATCATCATAAACAAAACAAAATATTCACTTGGTGACCACATCAAACTGAAAGATGCAAACACAGAGTCGTAGCCACAGCATGCGCAACAGAATTTCCTTGACGACGAATATGCATCCTGGCTACCGAGAAAAGCTCCGCCGGAGAAGACAAATGATTGACCACAACTGCCACCACGATACACCCAACACTGCCAAAAGAAACACCATCACTTTTACAGGCCAGACAAAGCGTCCTTTACAAGTACAGCTGACACTGTATTGATTTGCTTTGACTTTAAATACTGTACCGATCGACAAACCATATGCCAACTTATGCAAGTGCAAAGTTCATCCAATCACTTAGAACCACCAAAAGCACTGGTTTTGCTTTTCATCAAATGTAAGTGCAAAGCCCTCAATGAGATCGATCAACAAGAGCCCTTGCCATTTGTGATTCCACTAATTAATAAAACCAACCAACCAGAACCCACAAAGGTAAACCGTCCAAGAGAAATCAAGAAAGGAAACACACATAACCATAGAGGTAAAATGTAGAAGCAAATGAAGTAATCTTGGAAAAGAGTGATCTTTGCTAAAGTGATTCGAAAACGAGAATAGCTACCCACATGTGACATCTCGAATCAACCTTTATAGCATAATCCAAGATCAGGTGATAGGGGAGAGATAAGAAAGGAACAAACTCTAAAACAAGAGGACAAACAAACAAACCCTACAAAGAAAACTCTGATTGAACAGAGAACTCTGAATGAACAGAGAATTAACCTCTATATCGAGAGAAATTTTGCTACACTCTTGACCGTAGATTATTAATAGCCGCGAAAAGTTCTACTTACTAGTCTATTACTATGGAATATCATAGTTTGAAAGTTTGTGTTAAAAGTTGTTCCCATCTCTTAAGAAAATGCTAAACATCACTAGCATAATTTGTGATATAGTATGTGGAATTAGGTGTCTATTTTCTCTAATCTCGTTATAGAATGTAGGATAGAGAGAAAAATAGTAATTCTTATAAGAGAAATGATAGGTAACGCGAAAGAGAAAGTAAAAACTCCCCAATGCCACGTCAGAATTAAAATAAATAAATAAATAAAAAGAAAGAAAGTTACATGATATATATATATATATATATATAAAGAAATAGTGCTTTCTCTTTTTTTCTCAAAAACAGGAAACTAAAATTTTTTTAAAATCCTCAAGCTTTACCTACTTTTTCTCAAAAAGACAAATACGTTTTTTTAGAACTTTAATAAGAAGAATAAATTATAGATTAAAAATTACTTAATATAAATGTAATTATTTTCTTAAAGAGAAAGCATCATTTTTTTTTTTTTTTCATTTATACCTAAGAATTAAAAATTAAAAAAAATAAAAAAAAATCTAATATGACTTGGCCAAATTAGATTCGAGAAGTTTTTGCATTTTCTCATAAGGAGAAAAGTGATTTAGGAAACCTTCAAAAGGTAGAAAAAGGATCAATTAGGAAAGGAGAAAGAAATCACCATATACATTGCCTTATTTTCAATAGTGAAGGGCCCTTTTGTTTCCGACTTAAAACCCTAACACAGTCGCTGCTGAAAAAGTTCTCTTCTCCTCCTCCTCTTCCTCGGTCATCAATCATCCATGGCGAAACCAAAATCTTATGGCTACGAGCCGGTGGAGATGATGGAGACGGTGGAGATGATGGCAAAAGCAGGATTATTCGTGTTATTTCTTGTCTTAACCTTCTTCACCTGGATCATAGACCCTAAATTCCATATTGAATCGGTCTCTATCTCACCCTTCAACCTCTCAACTTCTAATCACGTTTCTTCCAAGTGGAACATTAGCTTCACACTCACAAACCCTAACGAGAACACTGTCTTCTACTACCATGACGTCCATCTCTCAGTTCACTATAAGAGAGAGCTTCTTCATATGACTACGCTCCCCCCTTTTTTGGCAAGGAAAGAAGGAGAGTTCGACGGTGCAAGCCAGTTTTGATAGAAGCTCACGGTTGACGAGTGGGTTACAAGCTCCATTGCTAAAGATTTGGATTTGCTTCGAGCTGTGACTTTTGATGTGCGGGTGACGAGCAGTATGATCTATCAACCTGGGGGATTGCTGGAAGAAAAGCGTTTGATGAGTGTGTTTTGTTATTTTGTTGAGATTGAATTTCCGTCCAAGGAAGATAGTGGTACAATGTCTGGTAGGTTAAATAAGTGTCGGGTAGAGCTGCAAACGAGCCGAGCCGTTCGCGAACTACTGGAACTGATCGGCTAGTGAATTACTCGACTCGAGCTCAGTTTATTTATCCGAATTATGAGGCTCAATTCATAAACGAGCTGAACCTGAACATCAATAGGCACGACTGGTTTGTTCATGAATAATGCATACTCGATTATAATATATATATATATATATACATATATATACATACCCAATTATAACATATACAAAAGTTAGGGTCAGATTGTAATTGTATTTAACACATTTATATGTAGATATATATTTATATTAGGGTCATATTGTAATTGTATATAGAGTTGTGATTATTATACAAATACACGTTTCTTATCTTTGTATATAAACTCTTTTATGTAATGTTTAGGGTTAATAGAATATATATCCGCCTCCATCTCAATCTGTTCTCTCCCTCTCATCATTGACCAATGACCACAAACGAGGCAACAATATATCAGCCTCCATCTCAATCTGTTCTCTCTCATCATTGACCAGTGACCACCAACGAGGCAACAATCCCCAACCATCAACGATCGTCGGGATCTCACTCCCTCATCAACCCTCTCTTCTACCTCTGGCATCCCTTCTATCTACCACCGGTGGCTTCACCACCTTTGTCCATCACCACTCAACCCTCACTATAAGAAATGTGGGTTTCTACGACATAATATTTACGGGGCTTTTTTATTTTGCCTCGTGATTACCATCATTTACGGAGTTTTTAAAAGAATCCTTGTAATTGTTACATGCTTTCACGAGGATTTAGTAAAATCTTCGTAGAAAAATATGTTTACGGCATTTTAAAGAGGTCGTGAATATTTAGATATATTTACGGCATCCTTTAACGGGATAAATGTTACTCGTTGATAAATTAGTGGAATTTCACATTTTAAGGCCTTTTTTTTCCCGTAAATTAGCCTTACTAAAACTACTTCAAAACATATATACAGAAAAGAATAAAAAAATTAAACTTGAGTTCTTTTACGGCGTATTATAGAGTCCGTGAATAGATTTCATATTTAAGGCGCTTTTTTTGTCCCGTAAATAAGCAATACCATTTTTAGCCTTCCAAGGGGCCTTTTTTGCCCCGTAGATAAGCTTTCCAAATAAAATTTTCCCTCTCCGTCCCGCTGGCGGGAAATTTAGCGCCAAAAAGCCAAATAAATGATTTTTTTAATAGAAAACATAATTAAAAATTTGACAAAAATGATGTAGTTTTTGTCAATAGGTTATATATCAAGCCCTAGCTTTTTTTCTCTACTCTTTCTCTCGCATTGAAGCCGCAACTCTCTCTGCTCTCTCTCTTTAGACAAAAAAGATGCAGATGATGTTATAGATTCCGTATTCGAGTTATCTCTCTGGTTCGCCTCTCCATCGAGTTCTCTCTCTGGTTCGCCTCTCCATTGAGTTCTCTCTCTAGTTTAGTGGTTTAGACACGACAAATAACCACTTGGAGCCACAATTTCTTCGAATTTCAGACGGCTATACACATCAATTTGGAGTAAAAAATCAAGGTTTCGTCAATCTCTTTCTATATATGTGTAAGAATTAGTAGAGTAGAGGTCATTTCACAATCACAAAAAACTGCTTTCTGATTTCTTGAAGAAGCCTGCGGATGTACATCGGAAGCTCTAAATAGGGAAGCATTTGTGTCGAAATTGGAGCATCAAATCTGGGATATTGGGATTCATCAATTGTTTGTGTAGTTTCATTGGTACCAGGTTGTGGCAAGAGATCTTCCTACGGCCACCAACGAGGTTCGGGCAAAGTCAAAGTTCTGGTATGTATTACACACAGATGTGTGTGTTTATATATGTATATATTTGATGACTCTGGTATTTTCTATCATACGCATAATGTGAATTTATGCATATTTTGTTGTTAATTTCCTTTTTTGTTACTGTAATATAAAATCTTTTCTCTCCACCAAAGCCCTAATTATGGAAGGTATCCATTACTTCCTCATCTTTGGTGCTTACGATTATATATGGTTTGAATAGATATACATCTAAAGTTCCCTGTATCTTTGAATTCTCTCTCCACACTCTGATGATAAGTTTTAAGCGACTTGTTAGATTCAGATTTGCTTGGGTTGCAGTCAAAACTCCACTATAAGCAAATTATGGCAAGGTAATTGTTTCCCTACTCTAATTATTTCTGGGTTTTCCATATGTGAATGTTGTTCTTGTTCTTTAATTGACGCATTTGGTTGAATAATTAGCTAACTATTATTCCTTTATCTAGACTGCATCTTGGATTGGTATAGATTTATTATTTGGTGCATGACTTTGAGTTGTTTCCTTATTTATATATTATTTTCATAATTTGATTCTTTGATCTAATCACTAATTTATGGGTCCTCAAATTTTCTTTCTTTTGTTTCATTCTATGATGTATTTGATCAAACGGTTGGTATGAATAGTAATCTATTTCAATTAATGTCTTTATGAATGTTAACCATCTTTTTTTTATTATACTTGTATGCCCTGATGGTAGAAAAAAAAATTATATGTTGGACTATACATATCTAATCATATCCCCTGGTAGATTAATTGTTGTTGGGCTATGGTGATTAAGAAATTAGCAGATAATTGGAGTTTATAGGTGAAGGACTCACTGTATATTTGTGTGCCTCTTAAACATTGGCTAGATATAACTATTCTCCAGAAGAATTGCCATTAATCTGGGGTGGACCCATGACTAATGAAAATACCAGTTTAGTTCTTTATAACCATTTAACCATGAATTAAATTCCAAAACTACTTTAGTAAGAAGTGTTAATTTTATTAGTATATTCACCACTCTTCTTTTGAAATTTTATGAGCCCATCTAAATTAAAAAGTGTACTCTCACTCCTCTCCCAAAAACACAAATACATAGTGAAACCCAACAATGAGACTATGGTTCAACGAGATGAATTGTAGCGATGCTACACCATCTCTATCTTTGGGGCACCTAGCCACCTTCCCTTCTCCCTTCTACCTTCTAGCCTACTCTCACTCTCCAACCTCTTCTATGTTGCCGCAGACTTAATGTAGCGATGTCGCACCCCCCCCCCCCCCCCGCCCCTCCTCCTCCTCCTCCTCCTCCTCCTCCTAATCTTAAAAAGAATGTACTTTATCTAAATGAGAGAACAAAATATGATGTAGGTTGAGATATCGACTCAGATCCTTGAAATATTTTAAAGTTTGATTTCTTTATGGTCTCATTCATTCCTTCTTATGTTTAATATTGATAATGTTTTAATTGTTCTCAAGTTATTTTGCTAGGAACATATATGGTGATTTTTTATTATTATTTTTATTATTATTATTATTTTTTGTGGAAAGGTATATATGGTGAATTTATGTCAAGAATCAAGTGATATCTTTCCAATCTATGGATTTGATTTGTTATGAAGTGATGACGAATAGCTTCAATTGTGAATTTTTTAGATGAAGTGGTAACTAATAGCTTCAAATTCTATTTTTTTTTTTTAATAGATCTGGTGATTTCTTCATTAGATATGATTGAGTTCTTTTTTTCCATGGCAATTTGCTGAAATTATGTCAAGAATCAAATGATATCTTTCCAATCTATGGATTTGATTTATTATGAAGTGATAACTAATAGCTTCAATTGTGAATTTTTTAGATGAAGTGGTAACTAATAGCTTCAAATTCTAATTTTTTTTAATAGATCCGGTGATTTCTTCATTAGATATGATTGAGTTCCTTTTTTCCATGGCAATTTGTTCAACTTCAGAAAGCAATTGTGATCCACTGGGTGCAATTGGATTGGTTTTCTTCTGTTAAGGAGGCCTATAATGATGGAATGAAACGGTTGGAAACTTTAGTGTCTAGAGTGCATAATATAGTTCCGTGAGTAATCATTATTATGCTTAATGATCCACTCCATTCATTATGCTGTTTATATATTCCTTGGTAGTATGCTTAATTTGACTTTAAATTTCAACCCAAGGCTAGCTGCAGGTCTAATTAAATTATACAGTACCTTGTGTGGTCCTTCATTGAAGGAGTCAACCATGACAAGTGAAGCATACAAGGAAGCAGTGCTTCAAGCTAAAGAACATATCCTGGCTGGGGATATTTTCTAGATTGTATTAAGTAAACGATTTGAACAAACTTTTGCAGACCTATTTGAAAATCTACAGGGCATTGAGAATTGTTTAATCCAAATCCATATTTGACTTATTTACTAGTGTGTCTACTCTTCCCTGAAACTTTTTGCTGAGGTGTTCATTTTAATTTTTAATTCCAACTCTTTTTGGAACTTTTCTTGTGATCAGGCTAGAGGATGTATTTTAGTTGTTTCAAGTCCAGAAATTCTTACTCGTATGAGAAAGGCAATAAATCCATTTTTAAAAGGAGTAATAGAGTAATTGGTGCTCTCAACTATTCTTGTATTTTATCATTGATAGCACAAAAATTCCAATTTCTGCCTGTACTCGCTGCGAAATGATTGCATTTTTCATAAGTATCTCTGCAGCAGTTTAATTTTTAATTAACAGCATGGATGTGCATATTCCACTCTTATTGACAGACGAAGGTCACCAATCGACCCCTTGCTGGGACGATTAGGAGAGGGAAGACGCCCAAGGAAGATTATATGTTGGAAAAGCAGTTTTTTAAGGATGAAAAACAATGTTATACACTGAATGTCCTTTCATAGTTCCCAGGTTAGCGCTATTTGCTTATATTTTTGATAAATTAAAATCTCTATTAAATGCTTTTTGAGGAGATGTCATACACTGAATGTCCTTGATAGATCCCTAAGTTTGCACTATCTGCTTGTATTTTTTATAAATTAAAATCTCTATTAAATACTTTTTTATGATGAATACATAATTCCATCCCTTTAGAATTTTTTTTTTCTCTCTTGTCGTAGCTTTTATAATGTTGTTTAATATAATAAATGCATCCGTTGCCAAAAATGGTTCCTCATTACTCCCTGAAGCATTTTGTTGCGTACCATGCCCTTCCTTGTCTTTGGGGTTTAGTAACATCCATACTAGCCATCATATCAGTATCAGGAGTAGAATAGAAATGGGCAGAATTATCTAGCAAACCACATCCAGAAAAACCAACCAAACACCCATTCTTTGGGTTTTGGATTTTACAAATTGAAAATCCAAATAGAATTTTTTATTTTCAGCTAGATATTAGAAACTGGCTATTCTTTGGTACTACAAGGCAACTTTTTTTTGCTTATCATTTTTGTGCTATGCAATTTTTATCGATGAAGTAATAACTTTTCAATTTCAATATGTGAAGTAATAATTGTAATACTTTTAAAATATATAGAGACAAACATCTTGGGATCGATGTTGATGTTTCTTCTTTGGAATAGAGTTTTCTAAACCTGTAGCGTATAATGATTTAGGGAATCAATCTAAATAGATAGCCATGTTAGAATGCATATGAGCCACGTTGAATTAAGTACTAAGTAATGAATCATAAGGTGGTTGCTATATATAATTTTCTTCACTTTGATAAAGCAATATTAAGTTGAAAACAGTGGTTTCAATAAGAACCCATAATTGACATAAGTCATAAGTGAGTTGAAGTTAAATATTGGCTTCTCCTATATTTACGTGTCTGTTATTTCTTACTGGTGGCTGCTTTATTCAGATGTTCATAAATTGGTGTATTTTGGAGCAAGCCTCACAAATAGACACTATAATAGTTCCTATGTGGTTTGTTTAATGACTTATAAGTATTAATTCATCTTTTCTATTCCTGCATCATCTTTATTACTAATTTGTTGAGCTTTCCATTTTTTTTGGTAAAAAAAATTTAGGCGGAGGTTTGATATATGGGGTTGCATTGGCTACCAAGTTTATCAACCCTACTATTCGAGTTTTGGTTGCTGAACCAATGGAAGCACCTACTTGCTTGGATTTTGTATCGTGGAAAATGAGGTGGTATTTTTGACAAGTGCAGATTGAAACTCAATTGCTAGGAAATTGATTATTTTTTTTTTGTAAATGGATTTACTTCCTATTTTGGCACATTGATCAATCATGAATTCTTGAATTGTAAAAATATTTTAAGTCTTTTGATATGTTTAATGTGGTATTTCAAGAAATTATTTTGGTTATGGTTATTGACATTAATATATAGAATTGCAACTATGAATGTGTTGATATATATTTGAATTAAATGATATTTGAAAATTAATGCCAATTGTAGGTTGTGTGAATGATTAGGTAGCATTTAAGGGTAATGTTTTATAATTTTTTTTTTATTAAAAATTATGTTATCTACGGGGAGCTTGAAACCCCCATAAATATTATTTACGGGTAGTTAAAATTCGCCGTAGAAAACTTTTCTACGGGATGCATCAGTGCCTTGTGATATTATTTACGGGTAGTTAAAATTCGTCGTAGAAAAATTTTGTACGGCATGTGTCGGTGCCTCGTGAGATTATTTACGGGTAGTTACAATTTGCCGTAGAAAACTTTTCTACGGCACACTTTGGTGCCTCGTAAGTTGATTATTAACGGGTAAATATTCATGTTGTAAATAAATTTAAGTATTTACGGAATCCTCATACACGAGGGCCTACAATGCGCCGTGAATGACTTTTCATGGCGTTTTTAACCCCTCGTAGAAGCCCTTTTTTCTTGTAGTGCCTCCTCTTTCCTCTTCTCTCTCTCTCCTTATATATATATATATATACACCAACCTCCATAAGTGCTCCCATCAGCCCTCTCTTTTCCGGCCGTTCTATCTCCCGTCGTCTGCTTCCTTTCTCGCCGTCTCTGTCTTTTTCGGTGACCAAGGCGATTCATTGCCAGTCATCATCTTTTTCGGTGACCAAGGCGATTCATTGCTAGTCATCATCGTTGTGCTGATTTGATTTCTGGCACTGAGAGTTGTCATCCACGAGCTATCAAGCTCCGGCTCGAAACTCGTCAAACAAAGCCCGAGCCGATCTCGAACTAAATTTTCTAGGCTTCACTCGAGCTCGAGCCGAGCTTAAGCAACGTATTATTTGACATAGCCGAGCTCAAGCATACCATTACTCCGCTCGTTTACAGCCTAGTGTCGGGTTTAGACTAAAAATTTTGAAAAAGGCAATCAATAGCTACGTTGGTAATAATGATTTGGTTTGTATGTAATTGATAGAATGTGATTTATAGCCGGGTTCGGCTTAATTTAAGTGTTTAAAATACAAGCTTAATTCCGATGAAGAAGAGTCACTTGGAGCTTACTCTGTTGTTACTCTATGTCTCAATAAATGCAAATTGTGAAACAAAACAAAACGACGACAATAAATAAGAAAAATAAACTAACAAATTGGGGTACCTGGCACACAAGGTACACCAAATGATTGAGAAGGCACCCTATATTCTGACAATTTGAGCTCCACATCCTTATATCTCAGATTACACACAGTGCTTAATAACTCGGATTACAAAAAGTTAAGTGGCCCTCAAACAATTGCATTAAGAACAAGTTTTGTCATCATTGTCGAAACTTTACTACTGTTTGATTTTCTTATCATTTCTGCCCCTCTTCCTGAACTCTCGTTTTTCGAAAGTGTATTGCTTTTTTATCAACAAATTACGCATTGCTGTTTTCACGGTTTCAGCTGCTTGTAGGAACACCTCTTTCTCAATGGACACGCTTCCCTGCAACTTCTCAAGCAGTTGCACTCCCCCTGGAATCTCAGGGTCCTCCAACACAATTGGCTCATGTTCAATAGAATCGGCATTGGTTTTGCTGAAACCAGAGACAACCCTAACGCGGGCCAAACAAGCAGAACCAAGACCATTTTGGTTGGAGACACCTGTGACCATCCATAATAATTCAGCGGAACAACTAGTCCCCAAGCTTGTGGGGATGAAGGTCTCTGCCGCAATGGAAACCACCTGACAAAAACAACATTCAAAAAGAAAAATATATATCTTAATGTTTTTTTCCCCCTTCAATACAAATTTGACATAGTTCTAGAGAATAGCTGTATTTCACATTGCGTAAAATTATTTTTAGTAGATCCAATTTCCCCCCTCGATATCTAGTTTTCAGGTACGCCCATAATTGACAGTACCAATAGCCTAGCAAATATATAGCTTTCAGCTACAAAGCCATCATTCAGAACAGGACTATCAAGTACATTTTGTATTATTACCAAAATCCATGACATGCAATCACATTGCGCATTTCACATTACACCACCATTTCATTTTTTCTATTATCATTTATGAAGTCGGACTTTACTTCAGTGGCAAATGAAAAATAACATTAAAAACAAGAGGCTAACAACACTAGCCCAAAGTAATGAAGGTAAACCCTCACCAAACACTAAAGAGGAATGCATTCTGCTACTAATACTTAACCCAAAAGACACAGTAGCATGTCCAATAAGGTCATTAATTGTAATCCCATAGTGTCAACTAAAAGGTAAATAAAAAAGTTTCATTTCAAGAAATGCCAAAGTGATCTTATATTACAATTTTTTGCAATGACTCCAATCTTATTCATAGCCCTATTCCAAATGGACTCGTAGCTGAAAATGCTACTTTGGCTAGGCTAGTTGTACTAAGAAACAAGGACAAAACCACAAAAAAAGTGTAAAAAGCTAGTGAATCTAGAGTAAATGATTTTGGCCAGATTTCTCTTTAGAAAGTTGCTCAACCTTTAATAATACACTAACCTTGGCAACAGAGAGTTTCTTAGTAGAAAGGTCACAGCTCAACAGTATTATTCCTGAGAAGCTACAGTGGAAGTAAAACACCTATATCATCAGATGTCTTGCAAAAATGAATTGACAAATCCCTCAAAGAAGAAAGGACGCATATTTAAGGAAGCCAAAGGACTTGCCTTTGAATGGCCACAGCGACTAATGAACTATCATGAGTCGCACATAGATCCGCTACAGCAGGATAATATTCCTCTTCACTTCCGTTAGACTGTAGTAGTCCTGCCTTCAGGAAGCAAAAGATAATAAGGAAAAAGTAAAAGATAAGGGAAAAGTAAAAGACAAAAGAATTAACTGTGCTAGAAACTAATATGCACATAACAGTTCTGGAAGTAAAAGAAATGAAATGCAAAATGCATGTTTTCTTAAAATTAGAGGCAAAATCGGGAATATTCCTCCTCACCTGCAATTGTCATGTCAGCATTACTTAAACCCACAAAAAAATAAAAAATAAAATAAAATAAAAAAAGGAAAAGCTACTTTGATACTATTAAGCAAGATTAATGAAGAAAATTAGTTATATATCAGAATTTATGTGAGGTCGGGTTTCTTCAGAACCTCAGGGTTAGAACAACAGAGCTACCTGTGTTCCAACTTCACAGGTATCAAGAAGAGATCCACAGTTAATATCCCATAAGCGAACCTGCAAAAGGAATGCAAGCAGATCAGGACCATACTTGGAATCTTAAAGAAAATAAAGTCAAGATGCAAACACACAAGTTTATCGATTTCAAAAAACTCACTGTTGAATCCCCGCTTCCAGATACAAGAAAACCTTGTGGACATTCCGGAGTACAGACAAAAGCAAGGCAAGATACAAACCTGCCAATAGACATGCAGCAATAGCTGTAAATCAATGTGTACCAACTGAAAGTCGTCATCCACATTCTAATTAGTCAAAAAGACCCTCATGCCAAGGCCTTTATAGTCATAAGAAAAATTACTTAACCACTATGTGGTTTAGAATACACAAATTACCTCTAATGGTTAACTCTTCTAAAACTACGCCTAACTTCTATTGTTAATTTCGGTCTCTTAGACCGCCATTCAGATATGTATTTAAAAGTCAACCTCAAACTTCAAGACCATATACCTACATAGGAAACATGGGTTTATATGTAATTTGACTTGAAACATGTAAAAACGTACACCAATATATTTTTTCATTTGTTTATTTAATTAGTTTTGGGGAAAATACACACTCAGAGCTTCAAATCAGTTCAAAAGTCTGAAAGATCGTAACACTTGGGGGTAGGAAATAAGGTCTCACAGTTAGATACCATTTTAAACAGAACTAATAATATGAAAACAAACATTAAGTGTTCTAAAGAAAATTTATTGTCAGCAAGGTACAACTCTTAAAGAAGTTCAGGTGTATCTAATGGATCTGATGATGCTGATCATACATAAAAATGTAAAACCAAGACACCAAGGATAGAGAGGAAGAATTTAGGGAAACAAAGATTCTAGATATTCCGCTGGTTCCTTCCTCAGCTTCACTAATGTCCTGGTTATCACCAAATAGCTATGACCTTTGAACAAAAAGCAAAGGAGAAGGATCCAACTGGTTCCTGTGTCCATGGTTTAAACTATTCCTAAACAAATATAGATATAATAATTTAAAGGATCTAAATAGTTTAAAACAGCAAAACCACATGTATCAGTTGTACCAAATTGTGCAGGCTAATCTTCAAATATTCTACAAAGTTAGATCAGATTTCAACATCCCCCTGTTCAACAATTTTGCCTAACATTTATCTTCTTTTCGTTTTTGGTATGACCAGGAAGACTGTTTGGCTAAAGTATTTCAATAAAATTCCAATCCTTGTCAGCTGTCAACTTCTTTTTCTTTCATTCAAACGATAAAAGATATATTTTTTTCAAAACAAATGGAAAAGATTTTGATATACAAAACTCACTCACTCAGTGTGGCCAAGGCAAAAATTTTGTATCTCATGAGCTCCATCTAAAGGATTTTTGGGAAACACAGTAACCTGTCATAGAATAACATTGTGTGAAACAAATAGGAAACCAAATTGGTAATTAAAATTTTATTTATTTTAACAAGTAAGAAAGTCAAGATACTCGAATCTTAAAATCCCGATCACCACTGATAATGAACCGTCCATCTGGAGAGAATTCCTGCAATAAGATATTTCTATTAAGAATAAGGAACTAGCTAGTAAAAATAATGAATACTTCAAGTCTAGTGGTAAGTTTCAAGATCAGGCTTTCAGTGAATAGTAAACAAAAGGATAAAGGAACATCCATCCAAAAGGAAGGATTGACAATATAAATGTAGGAGTAGCAACAAAAAAGAAAATAAATACAGAAATATACTTATCAAAATACACTTAGTCCACTTAACCAAAAAAAATACAGAAATAAAAAATAGATGAACATGAAACACGTGTGGAAGGAGGACATGGTAAAACCTATCCTATGCATTTATTTTTCTGTTTGAAAAGTCAAGATAGCCACTGAATAAACAAAAAACTATAAAAATAAATACAACTTTGTGATGTAGAAATACTGAATAAGCACAAAGTTGAAATGTCAAGTGTTACACATTAAATTTATCTTCTGGAAAAAAAGAAAGAAAAAAAAAATGGTGTTATACACATAGTGGGCAATAATAAAGTCTTATTACTCCCACTGTCCTAAGCATGGTCCATCTTTGAAATTCCAACTTTTTAAAGGGACAATCATTTAATGCATTGTTCCCTTTTAAAATTCCAATACTATCATTTAAAAAATAGTGTTAGTTGGGATAAGTTCTCAAAAGTGGAGGATATTTTCGGCAGTATGTAATCTTTTTACATTGAGGGACATGTATTTCGGACAGCCAAAAATGGAAAGTTGGATAAGAATTACGGGATGGAGGGAGTATTTTATTTAATGGCCTTTTTTTTTTGGGTGCAATCAGAGCTTATAGATATTAGTGTGCTCATGGTTCAATTTTAAATATGCCTATAGATCCACAATAGGTTCATATGTGCAATTTAGTAGGGAGAAAAAGGCGGAGACCAATGATGAGGAATGACGCACCAGACTAGTAATGATGCTGCAATAGTGGGAAAGAATTGGCACTGCCTTCTTATTGATCAAAGCTTGATTCTCATCGAACCCATCCAAATCGACAACCCAAACAACTCCAAATTTGTCAGCAAAACAAACAAACAGACCATCATTACTTATGGCAACTGCACTCACTCTCTTCTCTGATGACCTGTTGAATTAACAAATATCGGGCAACTTCAATTGCAAAAATATGAAATGAGATCTAGCACATGTTTTGAATTCTATCATGAAACGGGTAGCAGTCCAATAGGTATAGCAAAAATACAGGCTAATGGGGCTTAGCATATTAGTGTTTCACCTAAAATACATCATGTGTCAAAGAAAATGCAATGGATATCATGGGCAGCATACATCTATCTACAACAAAATATAAGACGCTGCGTTATAAAATTGATAATTATGATCATCCCATCACATTATCCTAACTATCAAGGTATAACACTACATAAAACTGCCCAGAAGTGCTGCAGGAATGCTAACTTCTCCATCTACACGTTAACCATATTTGACTTCAAAACTTACACAGTACATACACAGCGCCAAAGATCTGTGTTCCAAATCTTCACTAGTTTGTCATCGCCGCAAGAAACAAAGAGATTCCCATTTGCACCATAACGGATTGCTCGGATAGAATCTTTATGAGGATGTCCATCAGAATCATCTACCAAAGAAACCGAACAACCAACCCTGTAAAAGAAGATAATAGTGACTGACAAATATACTCAAACCACATTCAGAGGACCTCTTTAACATCCCATGGACATTGATTTTGCCTCAAATTTTTGCTAAATGTACACACACAGTGTAATGAACCAAAATTTTTCACTACATGTTACTGAGTTGAACCTTTGTTTCTCATAATTGAGAATATCTTAAAATCTAATCAAAGACATAACTTATCATATCTCAACTTTTAGCAGCAATCCGTTCTATTCTGACGAATATTTAGGAAAAGAAAAGAAATCAAATCAAATAAGTGTGCTTATTGCTACTGTTTGGCACCTTACAAATGATCTTTTTGGGTTTTTATTTTTTATTATTATCAAATCTAAATAAGATTGAAGATGAAAAGATTCAAACTTTACTTTCTCTCCTATGTTTTCTCAGGAATCAAACAAATCAACATATTCGAATAATGATCAATAACAATCGAATAGAAGGACAAAAGGAAAACAGAGAGCAGCTAACTTACTGGAGATCGAAGACGCGGAGATCCGACCCGACGGCGACAGCGACGGACCGTTTAGAAGGGTGGACTGCAATACGGGCCGGAGCCACCTCAATATCTCTACTGTTATCGCCCTCTTCCATCATCGTGTCGCCCATTTTCAGACTCCGAAGACTGCAACGTTCCGGTCTAGGGTTTAATCTTCAGTTTTTGCGGTGTTTTGCAAGTTTGGGCTTCGTCAAAGGCCCATGTTACAAGTTTTTGGGCTCAAAGCCTTTATATAAAAGGCTACCTTCTCATGGGCTCCCTAATAAGTTAGGAACCCAACTTGATGAATATGCAACTAGCCAACTATGTATGGCAGCTGTGGCTTAGCACCTAGTTCATCTTCTTCTTCTGTGTTCCGATGGAATTCAAGGCCGAAAATAACCTTTTCGTAATCTTTGGAGGTAAGATGTTAAAATTACTTTGAAAAATGACATGTGGAGCTGACATTATAATAATATTAAGGACTAAGTATCTAAAACATTTTCAAAGTTTACTTGTTGAGCAAATAATACCCCTCTATTTTATTTTGGGTACATAACTACCTCAAGAATTTAAGAAATGTTGTAAAGAATGACTTTTCAATTATTACTGTTAAAAATGTAGTGTTAAAAAAATTTATGTCTTGCACTTGATTGATTAAATTTAATAAATAATAAAATTACCCTTTATTGATTCTCAAAACGGCCTTCCCTTTTGTATATAAATCTAAAAAATAAAAATTATAATAGTATTTTTACATTAACTAAATTTTTATTTTTTCATTATTTTTTTAATTGTAGGAAGGACGTTTTAGTATTTTTATTACCCCATTAACGGCTAATTGACGAGATGTCCTTATTTGCCCTTACAATAAACGTTAGGGTTTCCAGAATCTATAGAGAATTATTTGAGCTATATGATATTATAGGGGTGTTAAATACTCGCGAGCCTAATATTAATGGGTAAAGTATACAGAAAATCCCCTTCGACTTGTAGTATTTTTCAATAAACCACCCTTGTCTTTTTTTTACCAAATTATCCCTCTCAACTTGTAGTCATTTTTCAATAAATCCCCCTAATCTAATTTTTTACCAAAGAACCCCCCTCAACTATCTGAAAGGTTAAAAGAGTTAATATTTGGACCAAAATACCATTTTATTTAAATCTTAATTCTCCCAAACTTCAAAATTCATATCTCACAAACCGTACATTTAAAAATTGTAAATAATGTATGTATGGTAAGCTTATGAAATAAGGATTCCAGAAATATAAGATTTGTATAACAAAGCTTCATAACTAGAGAGAAATAGGCAATCTAAAAATCTACTCCAATAATCTTATTTTATTTTTAAAATACTCGAGATATTTGCTAATTTTTTTTCAGAATTATCAATTTATATATGGAGTTGAAAATATAAAAAAATTAGCCCAAACATAGATCGATTTCATGAGATATCATATTTTGCGTCAAAATATTTTCATTATTTTATACACTCACCATTTTAAAAAAATAAAAAAGAATATTCGGTCTCTATTGGGGTTAATTTTTTTTATATGTTATGCTCTATATGAAAATGAATAATTCTAAAATTTATTTTGCAAGTAACCCGAGTATTTTATAAAAAATAAAATAAAATAAGATTGTTGCAATGGATTTTTAGATTGTTTATTTCTCTTTGGTTTTGAAGTTTTGTTAAATAAATCTTATATATCTGGAATCATTGTTTTATAAGCTTTCTGTGCATATATTATTTGCAATATTTGAATGTATGGTTTGTGATATATGAATTTTTGACTTTTAGTAAAATTAAGATTTAAATAAAAAGATATTTTTGTCCAAATATCAACTCTTTTACCCCTTAGATAGTTGAGGAAGATTTTTTGGTAAAAAATTATACAAGGGGGATTTATTAGAAAGAATTACAAGTCGAGGGATCTTTAATAAAAAAAAATTAAATGAGAAAGATTTATTGAGAAATGTTACAAATCGAGAGGAATTTTTTATATTTTATTCAATATTATTATTAATAGTGAGGTTGGGGTAATCATTATACGAACTACTCATAAAAACAATCTAAGTTTTTTTTTTTTTTTTTTTGTTTTTTTGACTTACCATTACTTGGTTACTTTTCTTCTAAGGTGATGATGGATGTTAAGTATGGTGGAGCAGTGATCGCTTACTTTTGGTGGCCCAAGAAAATTCATTTACGCATTTAATTTATAGGTCACGTTTCAAACCCAACATTTTTTTTTTTCTTTTAATACAAAACTGATATCTCTATTTCTACTCTTCAAATTTAATATTAACAAATATTACTAATTATAACAATAAAATTTAATTACAAAAAATTAAAAAATAAAAAAATAAAAAGACCTCTTCACCTCTTCAAAATAACGTCTCACTATTAATCAAAATTTTTATTTTCTTTGGACTAAAAGCAAGTGTTAAGAAATTTTCATCTTCTTTGGACAAAAAACAAGTGTTAAGAAATTTTCATCCATGACTTTAGAATTGAAGATAAAAGTACAACAATCTTTCATAAAGCTAGGAAATCCGATGCTGGGTTTCAAGTTGGAGATCATTTCCCGTTTGGCATACGTTTTGTTTCTGCTGTTTTTGTTTTGGACTGCTATAGTGTCGATTTTAGTAACAAAAGCATATTTGGTGCAACCTTGTTTTATTTTACATCGTACTAAAACACTTCGTGAACAATGACCAAAAACCAAAATACTAAAAAATTGTTTTTTCTTGTTTTGACAATTATTCATGTCCCAAAACCATATTTTGTATGTTTCTGTTTCCGACATTTCCACAATAAAATATTATTTCCAAACGTGCTTCCGATTTTTTTCAAAAATACTATTTCTGTTCTAGCTAAAAACAAAACGCATACCAAACGATTAATTTCCTTGCTACCTACAACTCCCTCGTTTGGGTTGTAATCCGCTGCTGGATTTCAAAATTTAATTTGCTTAATTAAGACAAATATGATCCCACAAGTTAATAATTATCACAGATACAATATTTTTTTTAAGTATGGATCAAAATGATCTTCTAAAATATATATAGAGTGTACAGTCAAATTGAATGAATGATTGACTAACAATCACTGCGAACCATAGTTGGAATCCCCATTTATCTTTGAGATATGATATTGAGATTATAAAAAATTATCAAAAAAAAAAAAAAACACTCTAAATCCACATAAATTCTATTTGAAACTTGCCATATTTAGAAAATTAGTGTTCAGTATTTTTTAGTATTTTTAATATACTTTTATCATTTATTGGTACTCCTATCATCAACTCTCAAGTCATAGACTTCATATTTGAAAAAAAAAAAAAAAAGAAAAAAAAAAAGGGAAGTCATAGACTCATAGATGCAATTTTTAAAAACTTTTTTTTTCTCAAAGAAAACAAAAATCCGGATTAGTGGTGAGAAGTGATTTTCATGAGGTGAAAAGGTTTCTATTTTTTTTTTTGGTAATTATATTTATTGTTATAATTAGTTATATTGGTAAATATTAAATTTGAAAACTAAAAATAGAAATAGTGTTTTTGTATTAAAAAGAAATGATATAGGTGTGCTTGGAATGTGATCGGTAGATTAAATCTAATTGTCATTGTAACTATAATAAGTGTGGAAACATTTTCTAGGTCCAGAAAAAAAAGATATCACTACTCAAGAAACAATAGATTAAAAAAAAAAAAAAAAAGAAAAAGAAAAAGAAAAAGAAAAAGAGTATGGTAGAAACATGATGACATAATTCTAGTAGGCTCACCAACCCCACACACATAAATTGAATTCGATAGTTATCAAATTCGGTCGTTAAATCATTAATCATAACATTATTATCTTTTCCATAAAACATAAATATAAAAATAAAAACCCTAAGTTTTTGGATGATCAATGAAAAAGATTTTCAAAATTTCAAATTACCACTGTAATAAAAAAACATTTTTTCAATCGATATTGACCGTTAAGATGAAGAATGATACTATAAAGCTCTAAGAGAAGAAAAATCATTGTTCAATTTTTTTTTGTTTTTTTTAGCCTTTCACGTGAATCACATATATGTCAGTCTTGGCATTGTGCTAGTGAACGCATTGTTAGTAATAAATCAAGCAACATGTCTCCATCAGATAATTAAAACAATCAATAGGCGTCATTGTTTCAACTTTTCTTCCATTTATATAAATTATTGGTGTACAAGCTGCAAAATATATATAACCACAAGCAAAATATATATTTGCAAAGGATCGATAGATTACAAGTTTCAAATAACAAGTATTGAACAGACTTACAGAAAACTTGCTTTATTAAACTTCAAACTTGTACAGAGAAATATTACAGAGGAGAGGAAAGAAAATTGGAAGATACATTGAAGGGAAACATTGCCTTCTATTTATACATAAAATGGACTTAAAATTATTAATTTGAAGTCCGCATAGTGCATGGGATCGTGTGCTGGAATAATGCAGTCGGTCAGCCCACCACTAAGTGCTGTCTCCTTATCTGATGGAAAGTAGGCATCTGATAAAGAAATACTGTTGAATCAAAGACTTTGGGGAAAAGTTCTTTGGCTTCTTCTGTCGGCAGGATAAGAGGAATCTTTACTTTTTGGGTGGATTCATCTTGTCCTTCAAATGTCCTGTGAGAGAATCCCAATAATCTGCTATTGAAATCTCATCTTCGGAATTAAGGTCTTCATTGGGATCCTAAGCATAACCTGCAAGACAAGAAAACTGATTTCCATCTTGACTGGTCTGGCTAGAGACTGATACCATGGATGCATCATCTCTTACTGTAGGGGTAGAGGATTCAAAAGATTTAACAAATTTATTCCTCATAAAATCCATGCATTTAACCATTAAATCTGCTTCGGTAATTAATGGTTGTTGTTTTCTGATCATATCTTTAACAAGTTCAAAGGGGTTAAAGATTTCTGGTTCCGGAATAGTTAACTTTGGAATCTTATCCATATATTCCATTGTTTTCTTTCTGATCTGATGGAGGAGGGCTTGGATAGGTTCTTGAGTCATGCCTGACCACCATCTGTAATAAAAGATCCTCTGGAGGACTGGTAACTTGTCAGTGGTATAACCACATTGGAAATCCCATTTCCAAATCCAAGGGATTCCAAATTCAGTAAAGAACAATAGG